TTTGAAACAAATATAAAATATTTATTCTTCTCTTATAGATCAATGTAACGGATACTTTTTATATCATTACTAATGCAGACTGATTAATTCACTGTCACCTCTAATCGAAAACAAAAATCTATTTATAACTTTTTATTCTAATTTCTAACCGCAAAAATGTTTCAGTTGCATGGTTGTAATAATTCTCATAAATTTGTTGGCGACTCGTGATCGCCAAGGTATTATTTTAAACCCAATATTGATATGCTGGTTGGCTTTGTTTTGGCTATGTTATAATTTATTAAATCGCCAATTTTGGATCTCCTACCCATGCTTCTGTGTCCGTTGGGAACAAATTACATGTACTTTTTAATTTGGCTTTAGTTTAGGCAGGTCGTGGGGGAATTGTCTCCCATGGCCTGTCCTTATTAATATTGGTATGCAAAACTTATTCAACTGAAATTCCTTTGAATAATATTTATATCTTGTATCTCGAGCTCTGCAATTATATGAAATAAAAGCTTTTTATTAATTCTGATCCGGTTCAACTGTTAATTTTCATCACCCTTCTGTTTTCATCGCAATCTTCAATTTGTCAGTATTCTTCAACTAGTCCACTATACCAATAGAAACTCCACCCACACCTTAATATTCCACCATCTCAACATAAATGGCACTCTGAAATAATCCTCCTCCACCATATATGTACTAAAAGGAAAAAATTAATGGAGTAAATGTTTCTTATTAATTTAGAGGAACGGAAAAAACTGTCCTATTATTTTCGACAATTAATATTGATAATGTGTATAAATTAAAAAAAGTCACCTATCTATTAAAAAGCAAAGTAAATGGAGAAAAGATTCTTTATCGGGACATTATTATTCACCATATTATTATTGATACCAATGCTTACTTAAATTGGTAATATGCATTAATTGAAATTTTTTTATTTTATTTTATAACCATCGTTGAAGAACAGACCCAATTGTTTGTCTTTACGACTACTAATGTTCAACTCCGTAGCCTCGTAATTTTGAACCCAATCCAGAAGAAACTCATGACTTACCTTATTGGGAGAAATTTGCTTTCGTGGAGGACTTTTTGATGGAACTAACCAGCATTTGCCTTACATAGTGAGGAAAACCTCTCACAGTTAGGCTGACGGCAAGGGGACTCTGACCCATAACCTCAGTCTCATGATATAAATTATAGTATAAATCTCGTAATAATAATTTTTCATGTTAAAGGGACTAATTTGGAAACTGATAATGATTTAGCAGTATTCTTGTAGATAGCGTTTAAACGTTTACAAATAAAAATAAGAATATAAAGTTCAACGGATAACACACGTGACTAGTGGTTACAATAAACGAGTTCGATTACTGCACGGATATTTTTTTAAATTAGCAATTCAGTGTTTTGGTGTGTGTTCTAAAAAGTAACGTACGAAAGCATGCTATTGTATTAACATAGATTAAAAAGAAGTACTTAAACCTATTTATTCATCCTTAAGGGGTTGGTATAGCCTGGTTGGCCGGTCGCTGGACTCACGTTAGTGACAACGAGAGTTCAAATCTAGCCGACCGAATACTCGCCGTGTACTAAATGGTGACTGGTGCAAGTTATATCTGTCGGGTCACAAAGTCCTCCTTGAACGAATTATACTTCTGGGAATTGAAGATTGGTCGTTCAGTGGTTCAGGTTAAAACTACGATCTGTAGATGAATGAATGGGCCCACCTTATAAGCGGGTGTGACAAAAGTCGAATTCTTGGTCAGAGATGGCGCCACTGGAAAATTAGAACAATCGCACCTCCAATACCTTAATAGCATACGACAACAACAACAACAAAATAGTTTTCCTCTATTTTTTTTTATTTTTTAATGAATTATCTCTACTGCAATATTCTTATTAATTAAATTCTGAAATTCGCAACTGTGATAGTTGTTCAGATAAATTTATAGTTTCACTTAATCTGATTTTCGATGGAAATAGCTAGAATATTGCATGTAACACAAGTATCAATAAAATTCGGAAAAAGCTTCTGTTCTCGTTCAGGAAAATTGCAATTAATGGTGTCTTTTCGAAAAATTCGAAATTTTAGACTAGTAAATTATGAAATTTTCTAAAAAGGAATAATCCCTATTTCGCCTTAAAATAGAGTCTGAACTAACATCATCATAAAAACAAAACGATCTGAAAACATATATTTACACTATAGAGTGATCACTTAAGTTTCATATTTAATAAATTGTCAAAATAATTGTTGTTAGCAGTTTATTAAAAAAAATTGTTTTTGTGGAAAATGTTGACAATGATAAATGAGAAGAAATTATGAGGGTTCGTTGAATTGAGCGAGCGATGTTAGAGTTTCCTAGTTATGTAAAACAAACAAACGTCATTAGAATCGCTTGGAAATTTTACGTAAGTATCAAAATTTACAAAAGTCGCTTCGTTGTTAGTAAAAATAAAGGTTAGTGAAAAAAAAGGAAACTATTAACATGAAAAATACTATTGAAATCATAATAATTGTGTACTTTATTTAGTGAAATAAATGTCTTTAAAAATGTACTGGATATTCACCTTTACAATTAATTGCGGTAAAACATAAACTATTCTAAAATGTCACATTTGGCATTAAAATTGTTGGCTACATGCCAAAAAAGTCTCGAATTCCAAATCTTTTGCGCACAGACTAAATTCACACTTCTCGAAAAGCTTATAAAAGTGTTTATAGTATGTAATTCCCCCCCCCCAGATTTATAATTAGAAAATTAACTTCAAAAGTTTAGAATTTTAGTTTAAAGGAAACTCCCCTGTAGAATAAACAAGAAATTTTATGACAGTAGATAAAAACCTACAGATAAACGTAAAAAAGTTTTTCGAGTGAATAAAATTGTTTCAAGCTTGATTGCAGTTAGAAACAATATATTTACGGTTTCAGACCTTTATTCATAAACTCTGAAAAAAAATGTATATATTTCTGTAATAGGCCGAAATCTGTCGAATTTTACGGGTGAATGTCGACTCTCACATAATCTCTTTGGTGACTGCCCGAAATATTTGTTACATCTAATTTGGCATTAATTTACTTATTGATATTTTCATTGATATTTATTTAATATTTGAATAAACCATTAGATTATAATAGGAAAACTATCAGTGTTGTTAGTCAAGAACTCTTAACCATAAGAAGAAGAGAGTAGAGAATACCGGGCAAATATATACCGGGAGATAGCACTTAACTATAAAACAAGTAGTATAAAAAAATTTAAAGTAAATTCCTACTTAGGTCAACCAATTTTTATTTTTTTATTTTAGTTACTTTTTATTAAATAATTACAAAATTTTACTCCCATATGAAACTAAAATTAATTAATTAAATTTAATGAATGGATTAATATTTGAAAAAACTGTTTAAATATTAAGTGTCTTCCACTACAAGTTTAAAAAAATGTATTTGAACTTGAGTGGAAAGTATTTTATTAACCATTGAAAATTTGAACTAGTTACATAAATATATACAGAAAGAGTGTGAACTAATAGTAGGAAATGAGAAAAGAAAGGCACGTAGTATGAAACAGCTATAAAAGTATACATTTGGTGACGTGGACCACACTTCATACCACGTAATGTTGTTTATTGAATTTATCTGACACGGCGAATGTAAAATAATTAAATATTTAAATGCGCGCAATAATTTATTTTTTTGTTCCAATAGAGTTATAAGTTAGAAATTGTCACAGATATATAAATATATATATGGGGAGACTGAGAAGAAGTGAGAGATAGGACATGAAATGTAGTTGTAATCAAACTATAAAAGCAGGAATCATGCCGTGATTCTGAGTTTAACCAATGGGAGAAGAGGAACAAGCTTGGACATTAATAAAAGAAGGGATATAGGAAACGTGTGTGTAGACGATAAGATGAGAATCACGTGTTTGAAAAATATATAAATTAAGTTCGAATAAGTTTTTAAACACTAGTGAGAAACAAGATACCAGAATCGTCATTCAAGAAAATTATTATAATTTTTTAAAATGTGGAATGATTCCTGAAGGTCAAGGTCAGTTGCTCAAGAGCAGTGTTGAATGATATGAGAGGAAGAAAACTCAAACCTATGATTATAATTTCAACGATAAAAAATCCTTAAATATCCTGGTTTTGGAGGTATCTTTTAGTTTTTTTTTAAAAATAAAATTTAAGGGTAAGTTTAGTTTGCCCCATATATGAAAGCCCATGCCATGGTTGCTCAGGGAATAGAGCATTCGTCTCTCAATCAGGTTCAAATCCCAGCGTTGGATGGTTGATATGAATTATGACACTGACCACAGTGCTGATGTAAAATATCCTCAGTGACAGATGGATCATGGGTAAAAATTCCTTTGCCGTTGGTCTAACCCACGTGAGGTCTTCACGTAACGCACATGCGAGTTTATTCTATCAGAAAGCGAAGTCTAATTCCTACCAGTGCTTGGTCCAGGATTCTAAATTACAAGGCTACGGAGTGGAACACTCATACAGTTCGTTGACCAGGATTTATACCTTGGTATCAGAAGATACTATTTCGCTATTTTTGGGAGAAGGATGTGAACAAGGTTACTATTTGGCGATCGTATGACAAAAATATTTATTTCGCAATCTTAATGTGTATATTTTTAACATTAAATATTTCATGAATTTGATAATATTTCTCTCTTTTGAGTGACTAGTTTGTTCTTTTTGTGACATTTTACTGGGAAAACAGCAGTTTTAAATTTAAAATATATTTAATTAGCTAGTGTAACGAAAAGTATAATAGCAGATGATGAAGCGAAGTAAGTGAATGAAAAAGAACTCAATGTTTGTGTTTGGCGGGCATTAAAGGTTGTCTCATCTTAAAGCGCGGAGATGTTTCTTTTCTTACTCCCGCTCTGCAGTGAACTCTAACAACGGTGGTTTACTTTAAAATATGTTGTCTTACACCAGTTTCTTTTCCTTAAATGACCAATTATTTTAATGAGTGTTAGTTGACTTACCACATCAATTATCTGCTGAAGGGTTAATCCAAAACTTAGGAGGAGGGGTTCAGTTTCATTGGCAACGGGTCTCTCCAGAACGTTGTATCCAGTCAGCAAATCAGTCAGTAAGCGTTTCTCATGAGGTCCCTCAACCGAATCTGCAAAAAGGGGCGTAAAAAATATGAAAAAACAAGAAAATAAATAATAAGAAGAAAATAAAATGTAAAAAATATAAGAAAAATAAATATTTAAAAGTTAGTTGTAATCGTAATTAGTGTGTCAATACGAGTGAAAAATCAATTTTATTTTGTTAATGAAAGTTAAATAAATATGTAGTTGTCATAATGAATGCCCGAGATGGGTGGTATATTTTACATCCGTCGTTGAACAGACGACCCAATTTTTTGGGGGGTTTACGACAACTAATGTTCAACTCCGTAGTCCTGTCATTTTGAACACACTCCAGAAGACAAGGGAAATCCTGGAACAACTATTGCGAGAAATTTGCCTTCGTGGAAAACTTTTTGATGGAACTAACCCGCATTTGCGTTACATGGAGAGGAAGACCACGAGAAGCTTCCACGGTTAGCTTGACGGTAAGGAGACTTTAACCCATGATCCGTCAACCACTGAGGATATTTCACGTTAGCACTGTGGTCTGTACCAGGCAAGTGCGGAATTCGTATCGACTAGTCATCGTCGGGATTCGAACCCGGTTTACCTTACATTGGAAGGCAAACGCTTTATTCCTTTGGTCTATCGCGGCTCGATTTTTGTGGTTGTTTACTTTCACCGGTGAATTATCACAATCACATTGTCGCTTTTGTAAATGTCCGAAATATATACTAGGTCTAGTTAAGTGCCACTTACCCGTACACATTTGCCCTGTATTAATTTATTTTAAAGTCAAGTGCCACAGCCCAGTATGCATTTAAACAGGTACTCCGAGCACTGATGTTCTTCCTAATCTATCCTCAGCAGTTATTAAAATATCGAATAAATATAATAATATGAACCAATAGATTAATACCAAATCGGATATAACAAATATTTCACGAAAGCGACTATGTGATTGTTGGCATTCACCGGTGAAAGATGACATTCTCTTGATTTCATTCACAGTTACTATATCACGGTGCACGGTTTGATATACAGGGTGATTAAAAAAAGATGGGCAAAATTTTAGGAAGTGATAGTACACACCCAAGCAAACAATTTTCGTCAAAGAATGCATAGTCGAAAACAAAACCCAAAACCGCTAGAGGGCGTCAAAGTTTATGTTCTTATATGAGGCAAAAGCACACAAAGAACGATGAAGTTAAGTTATAAAAACAAATTTAATGTCATGTGATTACAATAAGTGTTCAAAACAGTGGCCGGCAGTGGCTATGCACGTAGTACAACGGCGAAGAAAAGATAGGCGAACATTTTGAAACACCACGAACTTTCCCTGCAGCCGCCCACAGCTTGGCGACAAGTTCTTCTGCAGATTCAATGGGAGACGTTTGCAGCAAACAACTTTCCAAACGCGCCAGCACCTTTGCGTTTTGTTTTCGACCATGCATTCTTTGATAAAAATTGTTTGCTTGGGTATGTACTATCACTTCCTAAAATTTTGCCCATCTTTTTAGAATCACCCTGTATGTAGTTACTACACAAAAGACCAATGAACTATGGTGTTTCAGTACGTTACTTATGATGTAAAATGGTTGCTACTCTTTTTTTTTTGGAGAAAGATGTACCAAAATTCTTCATTTAAATTTCTTCGAGGGTCTTATGTCGAATTATACTCGAATCATTAAAAACCTTCTAATATTGTATACTCTCGAAATCCTTGACATGGCCTTGGTATTATATATCTACCTAATGTTAATTCAGATGTTGAAGGGTTTCTTCTCAAAAACACAATTATGGCTATGTCATTTTTTTTCGAAATAAAAAAGTAATTTTTCTTCCTGAAAAATAGCAATGCAAGTTTATTGTAAATTAACTCATTTCCATTTAGCGCATAATTATTTTTGTCTTAAATTTAAAAGTAAAATTGTAATTATTCAGACTGTAGTCAACTTTATTAGATGTTATTCTTATATTTCAAGACTCTACTTTTGAGAGTAACATGTTAGAATATATGTTTCCACTTTTTAGAACATATTTGGTTATGAACTTGCTATCTCAAAATTTTTTAGCGTCCCTTCAACTTTCTCATTGAGATATTGAGAGCATACTGCAATATCATTCGAATAGAACTTAAAACTTTTTTTTTCTTTACTTAAATACTAATTTGAGCCACAATGGCTCAGGGGATAGAGAGTTTGCCTTCCAATGAGGAGAACCGGTTTCGAATCCCTGCAATGGCTGGTCAATACGAATTCCGCATCCGGCTCAAACTGACCACAGTGCTGACGTGAAATATCCTCAGTGGTAGACGGATCCATGGGTTAGAGCCCTTTTGCTGTCAGGCTAACCGTGGGAGGCTCTCGTGGACTTCCTCTCCATGCAACGCAAATGCGGGTTATCTCCATCAAAAAGTCCTCCACGAAGGCAAATTTCTCCCAATACTCGATCCAGGAGTTCCCTTGTCTTCTGGATTGGGTTCAAAATGACAATGCTACGGAGTTGAACATTGGTAATCAAAATCGCAAATTTGAACCAGCTGTTCAGTGACAGTTATAAAATAAAATAAAACTAGATATATATTTTGTGTAAAAATAAAAAATTATAATTTAAGAAAAAAAATTGAATCATTTCGTTTAAACTTTGTATTTTAGAACCAAATAGGGGTATTGATATATTTATTTATTTGTTTTCTTTACTCAGTCTTCAAACCAATCAGTTCAAGAAAAGAAAAAAAAAAGAATTGTTATGAAAACTGAATGGATAATCGGGTTCTCTTTTTTTTCTCTTCAAAATGATTTATTCTGTGCGGCGGTGAATCAAATTTCATGTATATTAACTGGAATATTTTTCACTTTGTCCCCCGTATAGAAAAGCTTTTAGAAATTTAAAATGAATTTAAACGTGCGTAATTTATTCATTTATTCATGAAGTATTATTCAAAATAAGGTCTGTTAGTTTATTATACCCGCTCGCGAGCTTTTTTTAAGTAAATTTTTTTTTGCTTTAATTTTTTCCGCCATTTTTTATTGTCACTTACTGAACCTCTTTCACAATCCGTTTTAAGGCATTAGGAAATATTATTATAGAAATTATTTTTCGAAAATATAGTACATGACACGTACATGAAATGTTTGCAGTGCTTATTATTTGTGTTAATGGTTAAAATATAAAATTTTGCTTAAAGTTTAACAATCAGAGTTAATTTTCTTTGACAAAAAACCGTATAATTTATGTATGCAGCATGTTATGGAAAGACGGCAGATTAACTCAAATATGCTAGTTAATTAGAATAGAAGATAGAAAGTCAAACTCAAAACCATATTTTCTGTGAATAAACACAACTATTTTAATGAATTTGGATTTTTGATGGTAATTGTTTATTCATGAATGCTGTTTAAAAGTTTTGTAACTTTATCTGAAACCATTAATCGGTTTAATAAGGTGGTCTCTTCGTTTTTATTTATTTTTTTGAAAAAGGAAGCACGTGTTGTGTTCCATTATTCGGGTTCATTTTCAGAAATAATACAGTTAAATGATAGGTTAATATATTTAAATAAACTAATGCATCAGAAACAATGGTAACTACAATGATACAAACAATGTTTTAATAAACTTCGTCCACCTTATCGAAATTTTTAGTTATTTAAAATTATTTTCCATTAAAAACAGCATCAATGTAACATCAATGCATCGACGGAGCATTATTGAGACAAAGGTTTTCTTTTTTACTATTTTCAATTTATTTTTTTTTTAATTTTGGCCATTTTCTTTTGTTTTCCGAATATCTTGTTTATATAGANTATATATATATATTCAAGTTTTTTTTTGTTTTCATCAAGTGTTCTTTTAATTTTGGCTCAATATACCAAAGGCCACAACCTCTATAAAAATTGCTACAACACGGGTAAAATCATTCTAAGAAGCTAAGAATAATATGATATTAATTTTAAAAAATCATCATTTATCTTATGATATCCGATTTCTGTGTGAGTTACAGTGAATTGTCGCACTTGATGAGAATCACCCATCTATGCAAACCAGGGAAATGTGGTATTGTGATTTTTTCCTTCTAATTTATTGCATGGTAAAAGGGTACAAGATGATAAGACTCAAAACCTCCTTATATCAAGAACGTTTGTGCTTTTTCTAAAACAGAAATGGGCTTTAAGTTTCTCTCTGTAGGCTACTAAAGTCAAATTTTTTGATGGTTTTCCTTTGATGTACTAACATAATCTTGATGGTAACCACCAATAATTACATCAAGACCCATTATATTTTTTGATAGTAATTAACATAAGTAACCATCACTCCAATGTAGGAATTCGGATTGATTTATGCTGATCCAACATAAGAATAACAACGTAAATTGATGATTTTTTCGTGTTGAACCATCAAAATTTCCATCATAGTTTCCTAGAAATCAAGCGTTGGAATGATCATGAGCCACCATCACCTCAATGTAAAGATTTGGTCTGATTTATGATGGTCCAACATAAAAAAAACCTAATTGATTTGATGGTAAATTCCTGAGAACCAACAAGAATTCCCATTAAACAATCATTAAAATGCATAGTTTGAATCATCATGGACCATTAGAGATTGTTGGTCCATGAAAGTCAAACTTCTCTTGATGGTTAATCATCATAGTAATAAAGTATCATTTTCTAACGTGGAATGATGGAAGTTTGTCGGCATATCAAAGACCATGAACGCATAATGGAAAATGTTGGATGATGGTGATCATCAAATAATGTTGGACCATCACGAATTGCCAACACACACAGAGAGAGAGAGAAAGAGACAGAGAGAGAGACAGAAAGAGAGAGAGAGAGAGAGAGAGAGAGAGAGAGAGAGATAGTCTTGCTGAACCAAAATAATTATTATTAAACCATCATAGAATTACATTGTTGTACCATTATGGATCATGACGAATTTCCATCATAGTATCTTTTAAATCAAATTTTGGATCGATTATGAACAACCATCATCCCAATGTAGGAATTCAGACTGATTTATGATGATCATAAAAAAAAAACAAATTGTTTTGATGGCATATTCCTGAGAACCAACAAGAATTTCTATTGAACCATCATGGAAATGGAACCATCACGGATTGTTGGTTCATGAGAGTCAAACTTCTCTTGATGGTTAATTATCATCGTATCAAAGTAGAATTTTCCATGACGTTGGCATATAAAAAATCATGAGCACATAATGGAAAAGGTTGGATGATGGTGACCATCCGATGATTTTGGACCATCATGAATCTCACTGAAACCAACATAAGCCATTAAAATGTTTTGATGGGACCATAAAGAATTTGGTCTTGGGTAATAAACTTAGAAATAGACTTGAGGCATGAGCATAGAATGCTGGGCGCTATAGAACGCTAGTACTGACTCATGTAAATGGTTTTCCACAAAACTGTCCCTAAGATATTTCGGAGAATTTTCGAACATATCGGCGAATGGAACAATTTAATAAGCACTTTCGAAAAACGTGAAGCTAAGATTGCGTTTCAAAAAATGTCAAAGATATTCAGAATTCGAATCAATATTCGATTTTTCTCTTAACTTGGCTCACCTTTCCCCGTTCTTGCTTCGAATTGTTTTTTTTTTCTTCTTCTTCAAAGTCATTTTGTTTTAAAAATATATTTGTTGTTATAAATTGATTAAAGTCAATATTTTTTTTAAAAAGACTGTCATTTTGTTTATAAAATATACGATTGCTATAATTTTATATAAAAACATTATATTATTATGT